CTGTTTCTCTACCCTAAAAAACTATTTGTATGATCTCTGGCTGTAACGATCACTTTGAAAGATTTCCCTTGCATCTCTAATGATTTTTTTGATGGAATAAGGCATAAGGGGAATAAATACATTGTAACCAATGTTAATTTAAGCTGGTGTCCATACAGGTCAAGTAAGCCAAATGGAGTCGTGAGTGCTTCCAGAATTCATGCCTGAAAACCTGCTCTTTTTGAAAAGTAGGGAGATGGCCTTCTATGTCTCTGGGTGGGTTTTCTCTACAGACTAAGCCTAATAATTAACTTCCTGATCCTTTAGTCTTCTCAGCCTGTGGGTGCCCCCATATTTGGAAATCCTACTTTAAAAATCTGCCCTCAGAAGACTTTGTGGCTCCCAGGTTTTCCAGTGGGCCTGTCACCTCCCTGTATTGATCTGTGGTGGGCTGTTAATGGGCTCCTTCGACCAAATGTAATGTCTGCCCCTAGACATATGTTAGCACGGTGGAGGGAAGCGTCAGCAGAACGAGCCGACAGGAACTCCGCAAATGCACCAGCACACGAGACCAGGCGGTTGTAGGAGGCTGGTTCCCAGCCCGCTGTGTCCTCAGACTCTTGTGTATTGAAGAGATCTTCCAGAATCCCAAGTCGGGAATCCCTGCGGAAGGTCAGGAGAGGCGAGGCCCACCAGTTGTTGAGTAGAAACCAAGGCAGGTGCCCCGAGACATAGTCAGCTGCCCACCAGCCGAAGTATTTGCTCCTGTACACCCCTCTCCACGTGCCCTTTTGGATTTGTGCCTCAGCAAAGCTATAAACTGCTGAAGGCTGTAACACTTCAGGGGCCCTGATGAATATGCTCCAATCCTACCTGGCAACCTTAAATCCCAAAGGCCTCCTGGAATTGGCCCATCAGGGCTGCCGCCGACCCTGACAGCACTGACCCAGGCGGCCTGACCCTCAGTCCTGGGGCTCAGAATGTGAACCGGAGGCAGGTCTGGCTGATGGGCAGCCTAAGATCGATGAGCCTCAGCACCTCAGTGAGGCATCATCCTAGAATTGTGGCCTGAGCTACGTCCTAGATGTTAAAACAAATCTGTTTCAGAACAGCATAAAAGACCAAGAAACCTACAGCCAGTGGGAGATGCCTTTGCCCTCTTATGTCTTCAAGTCTCCTGTGACACCTGTAGTGCAGGGGCGGAAACTGTGTACTCCTCCAGGCCTTGGGAAAGGCAGAGGAGCGAGCAGACCCAGCAGATGGTGCGGCCATTCTCCCCTTCCCGGTGCCGCTCCCGGCGAGGCCTCGCCCTCCGGACAGAACGCAGCGGGCCCACCGCAGGAGCAGCAGCCCCCGGTGCGTGTTAGGTGTCACCGTGTTGTGTGTGTTCATTGAGTTTGCTGTTGACCTTAGCAAGTTGGTGACCTTCCTCCTTGCTCTTTCTAAAGAAGACAACCACTGTTTCAGAGAGAAATCTCCGGCGTCTGTGCCGAGAGCCTGTCACCCACGGCTGTTCCCTCTGAGCAGTTCAGTGGCAGAAACGTCGGGTTGGGGTTTCGTGCTTTGCCATTCTTCTTTGTTTTAAACACGACGACACAACCTTGGCTTTTCAGATGCGGAACACTTCTGTGGTTGTCGTGGAGTTCCTTCTTGCTGTATCTTCTATGCAATTCCTTCTCCCGAGAAGCCGGGCGGAGGGTGCTCTGGGCCGGGCGGCGGAGGGCGGGACGCCAGCTCTGGGTGTGCCTCTTCTCCCCCCTCCCCCTTTTTCCTGCAGTCCCTTCGTTTGTAAATTGCCTGCATTTATTCTGTCAGCCAACATGTATAAAATGTAAGAAAGAATTTTTAAACAGGTAATAAATTATATTTATAAGCAACAGAGTGCTGCCTCCCTCGTTTCCCCTAACGGAGCCTCCTCCGCGGGGAGCCCCTGTGCCCCTTCAGTAGGGCGAGAACGCCTGGGTTCTGCAGGGATGGGAACACAGCCTCCCTCAGGGGCAGGGCGAGCTCTAGAAGCGCTTCTCAAGCCTGTCTGCACGCTGGAATCACCTGAAGAGTGTTAGCACCGGGGGTGCCTTGATTACCCGCCCCCCCCCCCCCAGAGGTTCTGAATGCCTGGGTCCGGGGCCAAGCCTGGGCACGGAGGGTTTTACAGCTCCCAGGTGATATGGCTGGGCAGGTGAGGGGGCACCCCTGTCTCGGAAGAGCTGTATCAGAACGCCCCGGGGAGCTGGCGGTCCGGAGCAGAGAGCCTCAGAGGGCGAGTGTAAAGGAAGTTTACAAACTACACTCTGGGGAGGAGTGAAAGGCGAGCCCAGCGCACAGGATGCCCGGAGCTGCACCAACTGCCCCGCAGACAGGTTCAGCTTGGAACAGGACACTGGTCACTCCTTTATGTGCAGGGGGCGGCTCCGAGGGTGGAGAGAAAGCAGCTACGGAGCAGGCAGGGAAGCAACGGCAGCCCCCCCTTAGTGAGAGCCACTGGAGAAGGAAGTGTCCTGAGACGGACCGCCACTGCTCCCACCCCTTCTCTCAGCCAGAGTGGGAGCAAGGCCCCTCCTGAGGGCTGGTAGACAGGGACTCAAGACTGACTCTCAGCAGGGGTTTGTCAGGACTAAGCAAGTAGTGACAATATGGAGATTGGAACCTGGGTAAAATAAAAGACAGAATTGGGTCCTGTGGCTTAATCAGAGAATTCAACTCCATCTAGAAGAATGAAAATTCAATTAAAGAGCAAAAGTGTTTTACATGGAAAGCATGTGGCGGCACAGACCCAGCCCGATACCACCCATTGACCCCAAATTTGGAGCTTTGGTGGCTGGATTCCTGCTGAGAAAATGAGCCTAGGAGAGCATGCAAACATTTTCAGTCAAGCCAGTGAGGGCCCTGACTGAGACTCCGTCTGAGTCGAGGTCGCCGCAGAGTTCTGAGATCTGGCCTCACTCTGTGTCTGTCCCTCAGGGCCAGCACACAGGCACGGAGCATAGAAACTTCGTCTGTCCCAGAGCTCCCTACAGGTGGATTAATACTAAACCTAGGGTAGGAATTACTTTGCAGAAACAGAAGTCTTTCTCAGAGCGAGGTCTTCTGTACTTGGCTCCCATGACCAGAAGGAACCACCAAGCTTGCAACTTATAAAATGACCAATGCCAAGAGAAGAACCTGTTCTCCGCAGCTGGGATCTACTATCCATCTGCCTTCTAGTCCTGTGAAAGCCCACAGCGTATAGAAGTGGGTGTAGAGAGGGCAGGAGAGGTGTACCCACAGCACACCCTGGCTGTTCCAAGTGTTGCTAGCTTTACATCCTGTAAAACTATGTCAGCCAGGAAAAGCAGTATTTACGAGTACCTGTCATGTGCCTGGCATAGGGCCACCACATTCTTCACATATTCATCTCACGTGTTCCTACGAGAGCCCTGTGAGATGGGTATTTTTATCCCACTTTACAGGGGAGCAGATTGGGGCTCAGATTACGGACGTCCACAGAATTGAGAAAGGGAAAACCATGGGATGTGAGCTGAGTCGCTCTGAATCCCACCCAGCGCTGGGAGGACGTCTCTCGGCCTAAGTGCAGCTGGCTAAACACAGCCAACCAGAGAAACTTTTGAATCCCCGGGAACTGAGATGCAAGGCTTCCCGTACTCTCCACGCCCAGACAATTCTGGGTTCCTCACCCCTGACCCAGCAGCCTCCAGTGGATCTGCACAGAACTGACCTGCCCAGCCGCCCTCCGGGACTCACAGCCCAGGAGAAGATAACCTCACACCGCCCTCTCTCTTTGCAGAGGGTTTTCACTGTTTCAGGGGCAACGGCAAGGGCCTCCTTCTTCCACACCCAGTCCTCACAGTTGGGAGGAAGGACGGGGTCTTTGGCACACTGTCCTGCTGCTTCCAGATCGCGGCATCTGCGAGAAAGACCACTCCTTTGTACGCGAGGCCATCAGGCCCTCCAGCATCTGTCTCCACTCTCCGCCCTCACTGCCTGCCTACCTTTCTCCTGGGGCCCCAGAGGATTCTGCTTCACAATGTTCCTCTCTTTAGACTGTCACCATCCTGAGGGCTTCCAAATCCACACAGACGGAAAAGGCCCAGCTTTTGGGTTCCTCTCTCATCACCAATAATCTCGACCACTAACTAAACCCACCCACTCCTGTGAACACACGCTCAGCTGTCCTTAGTCTTGCTACTCCCCCTTTGAAATCTTGGTCCTGACCACAGCCCCTTTCCCAGTAACTGCTAACACACCCCTTCAATCCCATCACAGTTCCCTGTCCTTTGACCAGTGTCTTTGGCCTCTTAGCTCCCTTCCCTACTCCGGTCCACATCAGCCATCCCCTTGATGATGATTCTTATTTTGCACGATCTGTTGCTGCACACGCCTAATAAAGCCCAACCGTGAATGGATCCAATTGTTGCAGACTCCATGCCTACGTTTGGGTTACTGATAGAAAAATAAAATCAGAAAAGTGGCACTGTGAATTTGTATAATAGATAATATTTAGCAATGGTTGAGTGCTTACCTCATGTTCGGTGCATGGATTATTTCATCTTCAGAACCACTCCATGCAGTAGACATTAATATTATTTTCATCTTCAAGGGGGAAGAAACTGAATCTTGCCGAGGTCAGAACATGCCTACTGTCACACAACTGAGGGAGTGAGCGAGCCCGGATTCACACACAGGCTGTCTGGCAGTCTAGAGGCCACACAGTTAGGACCATCAATCTCAACCGGCCCTCGGCATTGCCCACAGCATCTGGCTGTAATTTTCCACAGTGCAATTTTAAACCTTCTCACTTCTCTCAAACCACAGACTTCCCTACCTTTCCCCTCCCTCTCAACAGATGACTGTGCCTCCTAATTACAGAGAAAATAGAAGCCATCAGACCATTTTTCTTGCTCTCCTGCCACCAAATGCACAGACTTACCTGCGTCACTCTCCTTCATGGCTGTCTTCCCGCCTGTTACGATGTGACATTTTCAAAGACAGAAAACAGGCAGAACTACAAAATAGCAGACATGTTCTTTCCAAGGGGAGAATGAAACCATTTTATTTGGGGGAATGTTAAAACAAAGCCATATACAATTTGTAACAAATACAATACAATTGTTTGTTCCCTAGTCCTGAATAATTACAGTATATACAAATTCAATAAGGCACTGGTTCCCAAAAGAACACAAAGGAGTCTTCTTCTGAAACAGACAGGCAACAAAACCCCTTATATATTGCCAATTCTCTCCAAAAAATATGGCATTGTTTTATTGTTTTGTTTTACAAGAGGAATCATAATTGCTAAATTAAATCACTTCTAGTGTCACGCTTTCACGTCCACTGCTGTGTGACTGCGTTTTCAAAGGAGATATAACTACAGAACAATTCAAGCTTAAAACACTGTACTTCTTTCAGTGCCTTTCCACCTACAAACAGAGAAGAACCAGAGCAGACCCACAACATAAAACACTGCAACTTCTAATGCATATGCATGACTCCAGGAACGTGAAACTCGGTCATTATTCAGTACTTGCTATTACCTGACTACAGACAGCAGAAATGCCTCAAAGAATTCCTTGCAAATACAATCTTAGCCTGTTTTCTACCAAGCTTGATGTTTTGAGAATGAAAAGAACGGTCACTCGTGACTTCTGAGCGGTGCTTTCTGGGCGGTCAGAGGCCTGTCTCCTCACACACAGTGTGCACAGCACCGCCACTTGTAAATTAACAATCTACACACTTTCATAAATAAATATTAGGTTTCATTTAGTACTTTATCATCCATAATATTTTACTCTCTAATCCACATAATGGAGTTGTGCCAGACTCCAAACTGAACATAATATTTATATATACATATATATTTATATAATATACACACACATACATAAACTATAAACCTCAATATCTTAGCATACAAAACTTATATTAGCTAACAACTAATATTTAGGATTCCTTTTGGGGGGAGAGCAATTAGAAGAAAATCTTAGTCTTTGAAATAGTCCTGAAAGTAAGCAATCAACTACATTATTAATTTCCATGTTCTCATTTATCCTATTCAAAGACAAAAGAAAATAGTGAAATAAAATTCACTTCTGAGCCACTAGAAACGTAAAAATCAAACAGGATTATTCGGAAGTGAGTAGGTAGTCTCGATAAGAACAATTTAGTTTTCCCTACGTAAGGTGGATTTCAGTAAGATAGAAAAATCTGTTCATAAAAACATTCTTGTCTCATTGAAAGATTATGACAGCTAAATGGGTCTTTTTAAGTATCTCAGGGATAACTTTTAAATGTTCATTGTGAATCTGGTTGAGCATTAGAAAGTAAGCTATTGATTCTTCCAAAGCAACTAAACAAATAATATAGAAGAAATGTGGGTACTCTTTTAATTTCCTCCCATTCTTCACTGGAACCAATGCCTCTCTAGAAATCTAGTTTACTTTTCAAATCATCACTTCCTCACAAAATATCCTAATTTGAAGTTATTCACATAGAAGAGCCTACCAAAAAGAAAACACATTTTTATCTAAGAGGTAAGCCCAACCTCACTTAAACGTAGGGAAAACTGAGAAACACAAACATGTCCCCACTTAACTGGCCTAAAGGGTACTTGTTTGCAGACGATCTGATTAGAGGCACTGAAGTTTCTCTCCACGGCTCAGATGATCATCACACGTAGTTCTAGCCACACATTCCTTCTAAGCTGTCACAAAGAAGACAACTCGAAACAAGGGAAAGGAACCTTTACGTTCCTATTCAGGCTATTTTAACATCAATAAAAGCAGCATTCTGATTACAAGAATATTTGGAACCAACTGTTTTTCATCTTTGAAAAAACAGAAATTTTTTTCATATTCAAAGATTAAGAAAATCTTCTTTCTTTGTTACAAACACAATGCGGCTATGAAACCCTGGGAAGTGGATGCTGAGTACAGACCACTCTGTTTCTCCTTATGATTCTCCCAAACTGTAGACACAACTCACAACACTCTCTGTTCTGGGATGTTCTCTGGATGCACAAGTCACCAGCTGCAAGTCCACTTCAGAAGTGAGAAAAACATTCTCTCATTTTTCATGCAGCTGTCCAATTTTCAAAAACCTTCCATCTTTCAGTTACCAAGTGGTGAAATGTGTTATAAAACAGTGCCCCCTGGAGCATTCTGGAAGGAACGTCAAAATAAAAAGGCCAAGGAGAACTACTTCCCAATTCTTTACTAAACACTACAGAATTTCTAAGAAGCAAAAGAAAACCACAGCAACAAAATGTAAATGAATCAAGTTGAGAGGGATGTGTACAATTTGAACTTTCGGTTCCTGTTGCTAAGGAGTGTTGGCCCTGTCAATGACTTGACTCGTGTTGCCTAAAAGTTAAAACCCCGTATAACTGAGTAGGTGAAGACATGTTTTGCACAAGTGCCACAGAGAAGAAAAAAATAATAAATTAGAAAGTGAATTGAACATCATGAGAATACAATAAAATGAGTCAGCATTCCTAGCATGTAAAATTATCACTTAAGATGGACATATTTGATCCATATCTATGCTAGAATAGTAAATCACAGCAGCCAGAATATTTTGTGGCCTCCAACAGCTCTCTTCGGCTGTCCCAGTAGGAGGTTATATTTATCTATTTTTAAATTAAAATTTAGTTAAATTAAACTGACATATCCTTCCTTTCCTTCCCTTAACTCAGACACAAAAAAGACAGACAATAACAAGAAGAAACCGTCTTCATCTGTACAAGATAGGGGGTGCCTCCTCTCCCTGGGGCCCCTGCACCTCCTCCCTCGCTCCCTACCTTGTGGATGGGAACTCCTTACAGCACAAGAGCAAATTAGCTCAATTTTAAAGCGCTTTGTCTTCAACTCAACTGATGGCTATTTTATTGAATATCGATCCTTTCATTTGAGAGGTCAAAAGCACGCATGAGTCAACTGTCTGCACATAAACAACGGTTTGTTTGTGTTTAATGAAAAGGAAGGGATTTCACCATGAAAGAAATGCCTAACAGAATCAGAAACACAAAGTGGTTTTGAAGAACAGCTTCAACGCTTAGTTCTAATAAAGTCACATAAAACCTTCATTTGTTCCATCTCTTCTGAAGCTCCAAAAGGACAGGGAATCCCAAAATGTGGTCCCAGGCAGGTGGCGTTTGTACCCAGGTGCATTCACATTGCTGAGGCAGCCTCAAGGCAGGGCTGGCCAGAGTGGTCGGAGGCGGCAAGGGCCAGGCCTTTCAAGATGAGTTCAGTCTATGATCTCCAATTTCACAGACTGTCTTTTGGTTTGAGAGTGCAACACATTTTCACCAATGGAAAAACACACTTTAATTTACCTTCCAGCAGAGTTTCTGGGAAGAATTTTTGTTGTTAGAATTTAAACTATAAGCCTTAAAACATCTACATTATTTATTTTGGCAAAATTAAAGCATTTTTTGAAAAAAAAAAAAAAAAAGAAAAGGCAATCCCAAAATACAGGGCTTTCTTAGAAAGCAACATGCATCGTATCTTGAACAAGTTACCCAAGCGGCTTCTCCTTCCTACACACAGACACAACGGATCCGTGTTTCCGGGAACTTCTCTGTCTTTGTCCAGGCTGCTCACTGAGAGTTGAGGCTGAACCCACTGGGAAGCAGGACCATGTTCAAGGCTTGTACTATGGATGCTTTTGGAAGATCTTTTGCTCTGCCCACAAACAGAAGAATATTGACTGGCTTTCTCCAGAGATGCTTATTTTTCCCCTCAAATCAGAGTTTAATGTCCTGGGACTCTGACATTTTGGCAAGTGTTTTCTTAACACGCAGGGCTGTCAGTCTTGAAGCAGGATTGTGAGCCCAGCATTCTGTCATGAGTTTCCCCATCTGCCTTAGACACTGTGGGAAAAGAAAGGAAAATTGGAGTAACACTACAGCAATGGATTATGTGCATGGTTGGTACCTGATATTGGCTTTTAGTTTTGGATTTCTGAAATTTGAATATATTTTTAAAAGATACTCTTAAAACCACGTAGACATAAAATTCCACAAAACTTATTTTCTTCTGCAAATTTTAAATGACTAAAACAGATTTTCATGTCTTCCTTGTGATAGGAACAAGCAGGTGGCTTTGCCAATTGTAAAAGAGTGTCTTTGAAGTCACATTAAACAAATACGAAATACCCAGGGAGTCTGTATTCCACTCCACAATCCCAGATTGTTTATAACACTTGATAAGCTTAAATCTTTTATCTAGTTCCATACTATTCAAACACACACGGTTATTCCTAAATCACAGCCGTCTGCTACAATAACAGCATCACACTGTACCATTTAACAAGATTAATGGCCTGTGCACAGCCTCACTAAAACTTTCTCCTGTGTTCTCCTGTGGTACATCAATTATTGGTCTTCCTGTTGAAAAGCACAATTTCACTTCATTAGAAATCCTCAGTGAAGGGATTTCGAGTAACACCAATGCCCATAACCACCTTCGAAATAATATAATTCCAGCATCTCATAAAGCTTTCTGCACAGCTCGTTGGAAAACACATGTATTATTTAGCATTTCAGTAATGAGACACAAAGCCAATGACCCACAGGTGATTTTTAATGCATTTAACAGTGAAGAGTTAGTTTATAAACACGCCCTGTCCATTGGTTTGCGTTGGCTTTGCTACATGTTTGATGACTGCACACAGGCAGTAGGGATGCCTCCAACTCCTCGCTGCCAGGGCACTCAGGGCTCTGAGTGAGTTTACAGGCTGAGAGGGTGGACAGAGAGGCCGGGGAGCAGGAGGAGATGAGTGAGGAAAGGCCAGGCCCGCCGACTCGTTTCCTCCTTCTGAGCAGCTCCGTTTAGACCTGCTTAGGTTTCACCACTACCTCCTTAGAGCCCAGGTGAACTGGACCTGTTCACACCGTACTTTATCATCCTTATTAACACAGATCCATAGCTGTCAGCAGTCTCAGCAGCCAACTTGTCCCACTTCTGTGTACAGAAAACTGCATTCTTCAGATGCCTCTCTTGCCTCTCATCAAAATGAGAGACTGTTGTATGCGGGTTTGTCATAAGGAAAATTCATCATGTTTTAAAAACACACAGAGAGAAATTACAGCCTTTATGCAAGTGTCAGGACACCACAAATAAGTGAAATAATGTTATCGCTCAGGCAGGCTGAACGTTGACCCACTGGATATATTCTGGAAGTAATAAAATCAAACAGAAAAAAGGAATAGATAATTTAACACACCACACTTAGCTCCATATAAATTATTGCAATGAGGCACATTTCCATCACCATCAAAACAAGGAAAAAGAAGAATCCCTGTAATGAACATTTGGGGTTTTGGCAAACGGAGAAAAAGTCTGTTTACAAGTTGGTCACAGCCACATGGTGACGGAGGCCTCACCTCGTCGCTCGTCCACCGGTTGGGGAAGGAGGGCCGCAGCTTCTTGAGGCACACGATCTCCCTCATGTCCTCATAGGACGGGTCACTGGGCACGAGGTCATGATAGGGAAGCTGGTACTCCTCCACTATACCTGAAAATATGGTTTTATGACTCGTTATTTTCCGTGAAGTGGAAATAAAAGTCAGGTGTACACACTGTTCTCAAAGAAAAGTTGGTTCAGTACGAAAGACAAGTTCAGGTTGAAAAACAACAAAATAAATCTTGAAAAAAAATGTGCCCAAATCACAATCTAATTTTAAAAAATGAATAAAAAGCCTAATAAATCATATTATTATAGGTCTTCAAGCTTTTTTCTAATTTCCAAAAGCTAAATAAAACAAGTGCTTCAAATTTATTTTCAATTTTATAAAGGCTCTTATATGCCAAATTTAAAAAAAACTATTATTAAATCTCAACGTAAACTTGGCAGACATATCCCAAACTCATGCTGCATAATATGTGACTGTTTCTATTACTGCAGTAGAGATTATGAACCTCATAATAAATCTGGCACTGTATCCTACTTTAACAAAATGTCAGATTTACATTTTTTTCTGCTTTCTCATAAGAATGCATTTCTGCACATTTAAAATTTGTAAAATGATACACACCTAAAAATATTAACCATGTTTTTTTAGGTGTAAGGACTGTCTGATTTTTATTTTCTTCTTTAAATTTTCTGTATTTATCCAAACTTTCTACAAGGAATACTTTACTGTTAGAAAAAGAATAAGTGTTGTTGAAAGAAGGGTTAAGAAATACAAATCTATGTCATCTTTAGGGAAACAGCACTCATCACGCTAAATTCTCTCTCATTTCATTTTTCCTAATTTCTACCTTTTTCCTCGTGTCCTTTAAGAAAGCAGGTTGCCTGTGTCTTCTTTCCAATCCTATCTGATGAACTCCTCACAATAATTCTAAGTGGCCTCTGTCCTCAGAGGATGCTGCTCTGAACAGTCTTTCCAGGGCACCCATCCTCCCCATCCTAAATCATCTTTTATAGAAGTATTGCTTTTCATCTGAACAGATGATACCACCAGGTAGGCAGAGTATCTACTGCATCATTAATTCACTGGGGGTTTACTCTGATGACAAAATCTGTAAGTGTGAATTATGCCCTTTCTCGTAAACTTAAACCCATATATAATCATAAAGGACCAGAGGGTTCAAAAGTTTTCTCAGACCATTCCAGCTCACCATTCCTGCTGTGCCCCGCAGAGCCCGCACAGCATAATTACACGTGGTATCTATGTTAACACTCCCTTCCATTGTGTTTCATCTCTGTATGAGGTAATAAAGGCACAGGGTCTAACGCATGTGAGACATCGTTTCATTCCAGCTCTTCCTCCCTTTGTAATTCTCAAGACAATGGCTCTAGAAACATTTGGAGGGCAAAGACGGTATCTACCTAATTCATCTCTGATCTTCCTCAGTGCCTAATGTTGGTGCCATTACCTGGATGGACTGATGCACGGCTGGTGGCAAGTCTGTCTTTGAACCATGGGCCTTATTCCTTTCTCCTTATCAAAATTTTCCATATTAGCTGCCATTTAATTGCTCCTGAAACTTCAAAATTTTCTCTTTCCTTCCGAAGTTTGTAACGCCTACATCTTGATGTATCTACTCACCCAAAAGTATCTGGACTAGAAAGACAAGCCCCCAAACTTCCAATATCTCCTAAAGGACAGTGTTGGGGAACAGAATTTTGTGCTTTGCCTCTCTGGAAAGAGAAAACAAACTCATTGTTGAGAGCCTACTACATACCAGGCATGGAAGTGGGTGTGCTATGTAATTTATCTTATTAAGTTCTCACACACACTTTATGAGATAGCATTATTATCCACATTAGACAAAGGAGGAAACTTGGTTTTGAGGGATTAAGTAACTTGCCCAAGGCCATACAGTTGGTATGGAGTGGAGATGGGACTCTAATGGCATTGACAAACACATGTCAATGTCATACAGAGATCAGGGAACATTTGAGTACCTCTCAAACTTCCACAGGCAGACAGCCCTAGTGACGCTATTAGTACCGTGCTGTTCACATGAGGCTGGCTTGTTTTTAAGCTGCGATTCATTTCGCCTGTATTCTGGCCCACAGGCTTTCAAACAGAGGCTTCCTGTGGCCCTCTTTGCTTTAGATATTCAGGAAAACACAATTGGAAAAGTAATCCTGTACTCTGCTGCTCCTTCAGCTTCTCCAAACGTATCTTAATTACACAAGTGTAAGCTTATTATTTAAAAATAGGCTTATCTATATAAAGCATGAAATCAAGGCACATGTGATTCGTTAATTTTCTTGGTTACTTCTTCATAACTATGATGAGAGATTTATTCAATATCTGGTTAGGAAAAATTTCTTACGTTAACTTTCCTTTTGGACAAAAGAGTTCCCTCACTTTAGAGGGAATGTGCTCTGTTTTAAACGCTTGTAGAAGGCTCAGAATTCCCAGATTGGAAGGCACTGCACTGAAGACGATCTTTCCACCAAAGAGTAAACGCTGTCGATTAACTGTCTCTCCTTATGTTTAAATATGAATCTAAAGATAAGTTAAGGCTCTACCAACCAAAATGAAAATTTTAATTAACAGTTAACATGTACTGAGTGCTATTTATGTGCCAGGCAGTTTCCATTCTTTTTATAATCACTGAAACCTCACAACAACCACTGAGACAGATACAATAATTCACCTCCTTCTAAGATGAGAAAATCAAAGCAAAGTTTAGTAACTTGTCCAAGGTCCACAGATAATAGACGGCAGGTCCAAAAACAAATCTCAGTGCTACTTAAGTGTACACTGCACTTTCTGTATCTTGGGCAAGCTTAAGTTTTCATGACGGTGAGTTCAAATTGACCATCATGAGAAGTGCAGTGGCATCAAGGTCTGTTAACCAGCACAACCATGAAAGAACCAGAAACAGGGTACTTGACACTGAAGAGCTTAAGACTCAGCTCGTCACTTAAAACGTGTGGGAATCTACCCAAAGATGGATTGTGCAGCAGTAAGCAAAATTCTACAAGCAATAATAATAAAACCTCTGAATATTTAAGGATGCCTTCTTACTTAGTCTTACTAAGGAATCCTTATGCTTGTAGAAATATTCCCAGGAACAATAATAATATTCTCATGCTTTAATTTCCTTTTGTTAAAAGCTGATGACTTCAAATGGCTTTATGAGGAAGCAGTCTAGAAAATCAAGAAGTAGGGGTTTAAAGAATGGGTGCCCCACCCACACTTATGTCTCTACCTTCATCTGTGCAGAGGAAGTCAGAGGGAATGGGGCATTGGGGTTGTGGATGGGGCCCAGCAGGTTGGTAAGAAGAAGCCGGAAGGGGTAGGGAGGAGGGTTGACTTGATGGAGCAACTACTGGAGGAAGTGCTCAAGAGAGAAGGAACACAATACATGGAGCAGAAGGGGGTGATCTCTGAAAAGGCAAGAGGACAGTATGCCTACAAGACATTTATCAGTAGTAGGTGGAGGTAAGGAGGCAGTCAAAGATCATTCTAAGATGTTAAATATCATTTCCTGGGAGGATTGTGACTCCATCAACAGAAATAAAAGGGGGAAATAAAAAGAAAATCTGATTTTGTGGACAATGCAATAACTCTGATTCCTAGGAGAAAGAAAGGATTTGTAGAAGCTCCACTGTTACTTACCTCCAGACACACATCTCCTAGCAACCTCCCAAAGGATGAGTCCAAAACTGTACATGTCGGCCATGATGTACGACTGAAAGTGATTCCTATTCAAGCTCTCATCCAGCACTTCTGGAGGCATGTAGCGTTTGGTGCCAACTCGAGTGTTGGGCGGGATGTCAACTTCATTCGTGTCACTAAGGACAAAGTACAGCAAAGCACTATCAGCCCTGAGGAGGACCAACAAATAACAAATAGAAGTGACTCCTGAACCAGGGTTCAGTGAGACAGGGGAAAGGAGAGCCTTCCAGGGGACAACATTTCCTTGAAAAATATCTCTTGCCAAAAGTTAATATTAAATGTTCACAGGTGAAAACCCAGTGAAGATGACAATTAGAATGAATTTGCAACATATAAGATTGCATTACCTCTAGATAAAATATAAACTCCAAATAATTGCTAAATATTACTGAATGTCTAAAAAATACCTTCCTTCTCTTCATATTTTAATAGCTTTGCTTTTAAAATTGGCATGTGCAGATGCCAATTTGGTTTGAGACAGTATTTTTTAAGCCAAGTGTTATGAGACTGTTAAATCTACATACAGGTAAAAAGGGGGGGAAGGAAGGGACATCAAAGACTTGCAAGTGCTTTACTTTGATAAGCAGGGACCTATAGAAAAGCTTTCTATGATCACTATTATTTCATAAACCAAATAACATGCATTTATAATCAAAAGAGGAAAGGAATAACTGAATATAATATCTTTAGTTTCATGAAAATTTCACAGTGTGACCATTTTTACTTCCCATAGACTGGGAGAAAATTCAGGATGGACAGACATCAATATGCACACTGGCATTGAGAAGCACAGCCTCAGCACAGGGAGCTGGAGCCAGAGTTCTGAACCCATGTCTCGAACCTATTGAACTACTATTGCTTGACAGGTTGAAAATCAAATGAGACGAGATGTGTAAAATCGCTGCCAGCACAGCACTAAGCATGTATGAGAAGATTAACAAGTACTACCTCAATAGGCACTAGAGGAACTAAGAAACTAAACCCTAGTTTTGTTTTGTTTTTGCTGAGGAACTTTAGCCCTGAGCTAACATCTGCTGCCAATCCTCCTCTTTTTTTTGCTGAGGAAGATTGGCCCTGAGTTAACATCTGTGCCAATCTTCCTCCACTTTATCTGCGGGTCGCTGCCACAGCATGGCTGATGAGTAGTGTAGGTCCATGTCTGGGATGCAAACCTGAGAACCTGGGCTGCTGAGGCAGAGCATGCCAAACGTAACCACTACCCCACTGGGCCAGCCCCAGTGAACCCCACTTTTGGTGGATGAAGCAACTATAAAACAGAAAAGGTACCAAAACTCATTTTTAAACTGAAGTTTGTGGAAAATCTTGAATAAACCTTCCTAACTCCTGATTCCCAAGAAGTGCTTTATTTTCTTTTCATTACACTCTACTGACTCTCAAGCATTTACATATTATTTCCCCTCAAGATGGAAAATGGTTACGTACACCAAATAGTCCATTTATCATCTGCGTCACAGACAATACCAAACTTACCAAAACACTAGTTGCTTTTGGACAAAATCTCTGGGTTTGATCTTACTGCATTAATCTCTATCCTCTAAAACATAAAATATCTAGTGTCATTTGGGAAAATTTAAAGGCTGGCAGATGTTCCTCTCTTTATATCTCAGAACTGTTTACATTTACTAAACCTTATAAAGCTTCAATCTTAGAACCTTTTAAAATTCACTTCCAGCTAAAATCCTTAATCAGAAGCTATTCCAACAGACGTGTCACCAGCATACTCATTAGTCCCCTCACGATCTTCCAGGAGGAACTCTGAAGGAGCTATTTTCCTAAAATAGAAGTTAAAGCGTAAATTTTAAAAAATGACCCAAACTAAACAGCTGGTATTCCTTACCATCTGTAAATGCAGGTCTTAGTGTTGTGGGCTCTTTTCGAAGACCAGGAAAAGAGGTTAGAATGTGAATTCTTAGTATTTCCCAGCAAGATGTAATAGAATAATGCCATCTTATATTTAAATAGTAAATGGTAAGGGAAGAAAGTGAGCCAAGAAGAGGCTTAACAAAAACTGGAAAAACATCAGATTTAAAAGATGCTGCAAAAGCTCCACCTTCAATTGAATAAAGTAATTTCTTTCCTCCTCTTCTACCCGCGGACACCTCTTATGTGAGCACACAGTGGTATTTCATTAATGTGTTGTATGCATGTGTTATAATTTATCATTTGGAATCATCAGAGGAAGACGGTGGTGGGCCCAGGTAGAGAAGTCTGGCTTCTATGAAGAGAAACAAACATGAGGGCTTGCAGATGGAAAGAAGAGAACATAGGGCCTAAGTTAATTCCAGAACACGCACTGAGAAAGGAAACCAAGCACAGTCTTAGCATGGGCCCCAAAGGAGTGCGTGTAGGCCAAAGACAGACTCTGACCACAGCTGATGAAGACTTTAGGCAACTCCTTCCCATTCTCACTCTTAGCTCCCTGATGTTTTATTTGGATTTGGGAGGTCAGGAAGGGCTAATGAAATTTGTGACATGGACGCCTATTGGCAAACTGAAAGGTAACTGTTACCTGATGATGGAATTAAGACTTGTGATGGCTGAACTATATACATATTCATCTCTAACCTCTCATTCCCTCAAACACTGAAAAAAAGCACACAGTCAAGGATTTTGCTTGTCCATCAAATGGGCTAAGCATGTTCCCGTCCCTCCCCCGCTTCCTCTCCCCACCCAAGTGTCTTCCTAATAGTATTCGAATAAATATCTTACCTCAGAGTATTTGCATAAATATCCTCCTTTGCAGTACATAAATAAATATTCATCTTCCAACCTAAGCTTGTAAACTCATCTGTCATTGTTTGGTATGTCCCTAGAGAACACAGCCCCAATCATCTCCACTCAGTGTGCTCTGCACACGATAGGTAAAGAATATACTTTAAACCAAAGGAGGAGAAGGTCTTTCTAGAATAAACTTCGCTATGGATAATTTAAAGAGAAATATGAAAACCTCTATTATATATAGACCATAAAATGAAACATTACATACAAGAATTTTGTTAAGAAAATTAATTTTGTAAGAGATGACTATTAACCTAGTGGCAAATGCCTTAGCAGTACATTTAAACAACAAACACGCTCACTGTAAGTAATTCATATCTGATATTCTAAAGTATCAGATCCTCCAAGACATACAACTCTGTCTCTTCTTCCCTCAGGAGCGTTTCTATACTTGAAAGTAATTAACCTGCATTTCTCTCTCAGGTTTTCAGAAACATCCTCTTACCTGTTCCCAAATAAGGGCAGAGAAAAACTGAGCTTCTATTAATCTTCAAGATCAAAAATAGAAACTAAAGGGATTTAACACAGCGCCAGCAAGAAGAAATGAAGAAAAGAGACAGGAAGTAGAGTCAGAGAGTGCGGAGCACGCAGGAAGAGGGCAGAGTCACGGAAGGAGAAAGAAGGCAGACAAGGCGCGCACTCCTTCAGCTTTCCTCGCTTCCTTTTCCATGGAGGGGCCGGGAGGCGCGAGAAGGACAGTCGGCAAGAAAAGATGGATACTGCACAAGGGGGGCAGAGCCAGAGAAATGAACCCCAAGCCACGCCTCATCCTACGTACTGCACAGCTACACACACACAGCCAAGTTATAAAGTCATGTACAGGAAAGATAATACCAACTTCAGGATACTGGTTATTTCTGGGAGGGAAAAAGGAGAGTGAAATAACGAAGAGAATGCCAACAGGGCTATCTCCAACATCGGAATTCTTTTCAGAAGAAAGACGAGGCAAAAATAAGACAAATTGTTAACATTTGATAATGTTAAGGTATTACATGAGTGCCTCATTACTTTTTATACCTTTCTATATGTTTAAAATATATTATAATTAAATATATTATAAATGAAAAAACTCAGCAGGATGAGGACCTAGAAAAATTTTCATTTCAAGGATTCAGGCACTTGTTAGAGGCATAAGGGTCTGAGGATCAAAAGTCGTCTAAATAAACTGGGCAAAATTACAGAGAAGATGAGTTTCCACCAGGGAGAACTGGAAATATTGCATCAAAGACATGGATGCTGTCTTCACGGCAGAGTAAACACGGCCTCTCTTCTCTCCTCCACGCAGAAGGGTGGGATGCATTTGCACAAAGGGGCCACGACTGAAGAGCTGGGTTTAGAGAATCACAGGGGCAGGCACTTTTACCCATTTATGTTTTTATACTTAATACTTCCAAGAGATCCAACATGGCTTTTGTCCCTGTTAATGTGAATACCAGTGTGATACAGACTTAAGTAGAATTGGGGGAAAAATATATATATATATACATATAATGTGAACAAAATAAACTAAATTAAGGGATTTGGGGTAAATTCCTCTCTAGGAAAAAACACTATTTTAGAATCATACTTTAATAGGCATTTTTCTTTATGAAGTTTAGGGAGAGCAGGGCTCAGACAGGATAAAATAAAAGCACCTAAAGTTTTCTTGAGGAAGAAACGAACAGTAACTTGGGAGGGTGGGGTAAGGGGCAAGTGAGCGAGGGAGAAGAGGGGCTCTCCCCTCTGGCCTAGGGTCGGGACAAGATGTTAAGGCCCTGAAGGAACAAAAAATCAGGAAAATTGTTCTGACAGCATGAATTTCATGATTAAATTCAATACCCTACAACATATCCCAGTAAAGATCTCTTCAAGCTTGAGCTGACGGTGTTTTGGGAAGAGCAGAATCAGCAGCTACGACATGGGGAACAGGGACAAGATACAGCAGAGCTATAGACTGGTAAGGCAAACAGGAAAGGCTCCTCAGGATGCCCCGACACGCTGTGGATGACACTGCGTCCCCGACTGTGCTGGGAGGACTAGGGACGATAAAGCGTAATTTTATTTGAATCTCAGAATGCAAGGTGTGCTCAGCTAGGATTACTTAAAAAGGCATGAAAACAAAAGTTCTAATTTCTGACCAAAAGCACTTGGATGTCAGTGGTATGATAAAGAAAATGCCAGCCGAGCGGAATAAGAGGTCTACCTTGATGACCAAAGGGCCTCCTGGTGTGCACACACTTTGAGTGGCTCTTCTCACCCAAAAGGACACAAAGTAAGTGAGAGTTCCCAAGGCAACTGCTTCAGGCAGGGGGAGTGGAGCAAAGACTCTGAGACTGTG